GAAATCTCTCTGGTGGTTTAGGGGTTTGGGGAACGTTGCAGAGACGTAGGATTCAAATTTTATAAGGTGTTATCTCGAACTGTTTCGGAAGGGCGCAGATGCGAAAATCCGAGGGGAAAATCAAGTCTGTGGGACTTGTTTTAGAAGCCCGACTGTGTCACGAGCGTCAGTTGAACCGAACTAGGAATAACGTTTTGTTTGCGAGGAAAAAAAAAACGTTGACCCCGATTAAGCTCGAAATGTTATTTTAAACGTTTGATTGCTATGATTTTAACCAAGCCCGAGCCCGCCGTGTTCAGAGAAGGCCCGAAGGATGGGTCCATATACCTTTAATATGATAATTGTAATTATTTTGGATGTAGGACTCATGATCGCTATTTTATAAAATGAAAGTCCGTTAACATAGCACGCAGATACACAAAACAATGATTATTTTTTAGCGTCATTTGCTGTGTTGCATTGAAATGTTATGTAATCGTTGATATTCGAAATACGCAACTTTTATTAATGGCTTTTAGGTTATAAAATAATCTGATAGCTACACATAACGTTATATAAGACTGTTTACTGTTTTGATTTCAACAGATGTTATTTTTGTAGCAAGGAATCATTTAAGATTGTCTTACTGCCTTCGGGTAAGACCCACAGATTGACGATGGTGGAAATTACGCTCAGAAGCACGAAGCTTTAATAGCCTGAGTTCTGGTTGTCACATTAACCACATAACTACCCCCCCCCCCCCCCCCGGAACCCTGTGGCAGAACACGTGTGATTGTTTTGTGGAAAGTGTTAATAAATGTCTCTCGCACAGGAAAGCAGAATAAATGTGAGGAGAAACATCTGTTACTGCGTGCTCCTGATGGCGCCTGCGATACATACTTCTTCATTCTCTTGACGCTTTCCAATATCTCACCCCATCACTCCGCTCGGAGATGAGTTCTGTTGTGTGCAACCGCGCGTTGTGGACTCCGGTCAAGACGTTCCAGCGGCTGTTCAGAGTACCTAGGTGAGAGAGAGAGAGAGAATTCAGTTCTTCCTGTCACAAATCCCAAAACTTTAATTTCAAGTTGACATGTTTTTTTTTTCCCAAGGATTATAAGGTAGTATATTTGCGTCATATTGTGATTTGACGGAAAATATTAAAATATTAAGGATTATAACTTTATGTTTTAATAATTGTTTGAATTCTGATATTTGTAATTTATTCTCATTATTTTTCGTTGTCAAAAATTATATTGTTACCACAAGGGACCTTCCTGAGTTAAAAGTTAATCTCGGATGTTGATACACGGACCCACTGGCGCGACAACACTCGACACGCCGTACGCGGCTAGTCGCGCCAGTGAATTTGAAATCACTCGGGGTACGAGAACTTGTGACTTCAACACAGTAACAAATTCGTAACTGAAGGTTACCGTCTTCGGGGTTGTAGTGCCGTGTAGAAGTTTGCTGACGTTTCAGAGGTTCTTGGCTGCCTCCATAACCACCGCTCTGCTGATGAACCTCGTGCGAAATATCGCAACAGCGGAGTTTCAAAATAAGTAATCTGAAAAGTTTTCCTCGAAGCGTTTAGTGTAATTTAGTCATTAACAGTTATCTGTAGTTTAGATTAAATGTTAGGTTTTTTGTTATGTTATTCAAATTACAATGTTAACTGAATGTCAGGTACATTTTATTATTTCATTACGTCTATTTCCTTAGTTATGTCAGTACCAGAAGTTCAAAATATGCGACTGTATGTCTGTCTGTCCGTATTTCAATATTTGTGTTTGTGATAACTCGAGAAGGGCAAACGGATTTTTCTTGTAATTTTATATTTCGGGGAATTTTACTAAAATTTGTCCGTTGCAGTTTTGGTTAAATTCTGACTGTTTGGCCTTCATGAACACGTATACGTGTTCCTGAGCGGAGAAGTGACTGGATGGAAATCCCCGTAGGTACCGTTGTTACGTGGCAAATCCGTAGTCAGGCACATCTCTGGTGTCATTAGTAAGCGCCGTGATCAAATTATGACGCAGGTGTCGAAATTGTTACTTCATAACTTATACTGACCATTCTAGCTTTTGCAGAACGCTCATAACATCTTTGTCTTCAATCATGTGATGCACCACGATTCCCCAACTGTCATGCCTGCCTTCAACAAAAATTAACAGTGATTCGTGCGACCTCTGTATCAATTATATTTAGGAATACTGTATTTATCTGCACCCATGATGATGTTTGGAACTATCAAATGTAACAATGAGCTACGTTGGCCTGCATGTTCAACAGGTTGCAACGCAACATTGCTGTACATGCTTAAAGTGGAAATACTTGATCTGTGTCCAGAGTAATCCCCATCTCTGGTCAATTATATTTAGATGACACAACACATGAGAAAATTTTTAAAAACATGACAACTGAAGATCAGGAGTGACTGACTATTCATGTTCATGAATACCATATAACTGTACCTTCAATGTATGCTTTATTTCAGCATGAATAGCAACTCTGGCAAATTACTTATACTCTCCATAAAATCTTCTCGGGTGATCAACCATGCCAAACGATTAAAAGACAAAACCATATTTCAGGAACCATCTCCGGCCCCATCATCAGGGTTCTGATGTGACTGGATACCTCGGAAGTCGCCTATGTTACACAGTATTCATTCACATCAGAACCTTGATGATGGGGATAGAGTTGGTTCCCGAAACGTCGGTTTACTACGGTAACCAGTTAACGCGGCTGATTGCCAGAAAATATTTTATTGATTGTTTGTGTTATTTTTTTCTCTACGCCATTTACATTTTTGTATTTTACAAATAAATGTAGTAAAGTGTAGAAATTGTATCGTATGTGAACACATTTGAACACCGATGTCCTCTTTAGTTTTATGAAATTGTATTAGACGCTACAAAGCAGATTCGTCTGGAAGTTAACCCAGAAACGAACTAATTATTTGTTTATGTCGTATTACCATAATCGTAATATAAAAATCTATAATAAATTATTCTAAAATGTGACTAAGGTCCAATATTAGGGACTAGAGTAACATTTTAAAATTGCACCCAGACTGGAGTTACGAGCAGATTACATGGGAATGCCTGCCCTCGTCTTTCCGTAAATTTAAAGATTTTTTGAAGATTATAATTTTACTTGTTTTTTTCGTGGGGGGGGGGGGTAAACATGGTCTCTCACCCTAGGAATAATATAGATCGAGAGTGTTTGAGGGCAGTAACTGAGGAAAATATTTGGCCTTTGAGTTAATAAAGTGCCAGGAAGCTTGAGATGTTTTCGTAATGAAGGGCTTCATAATTTGACTCTTTATCAAATATAATAAATTCTTGTCTGGACCAGGACGAAGATTGTTTCCAACCATTTTGTCGCCGTGAAAGCTCCAAATCTTCACCGAATATTATTAGGATAGCCATATCAAGGCTGTGATATGAGCGAGGAACGTGTCACACGTTGTGAAATAAGAAATACGTACGCAATCTGTCAGAAAGCCTGAATAGAAGAGGCCACTCGGAAGACTTAGTCGTAGATGGGAATAAAACTTTTAATTGAATAAAAATTTTCTTGGATATTATTCATCGTCTAGTAAATATAAAACGTAAAACGACGTTTCGGAGATGTGACTCTATCTCCGTTTTCAGGTTCCTACACAGTTGGGCCCACTAGATAGAGCTAATCCCTATCTCCGGACCTTTCTTGGATATTATCCATCGTCTAGTAAATATAAAACGTAAAACGACGTTTCGGAGATGTGACTCTATCTCCGTTTTCAGGTTCCTACACAGTTGGGCCCACTAGATAGAGCTAATCCCTATCTCCGGACCTTTCTTGGATATTATCCATCGTCTAGTAAATATAAAACGTAAAACGACGTTTCGGAGATGTGACTCTATCTCCGTTTTCAGGTTCCTACACAGTTGGGCCCACTAGATAGAGCTAATCCCTATCTCCGGACCTTTCTTGGATATTATCCATCGTCTAGTAAATATAAAACGTAAAACGACGTTTCGGAGATGTGACTCTATCTCCGTTTTCAGGTTCCTACACAGTTGGGCCCACTAGATAGAGCTAATCCCTATCTCCGGACCTTTCTTGGATATTATCCATCGTCTAGTAAATATAAAACGTAAAACGACGTTTCGGAGATGTGACTCTATCTCCGTTTTCAGGTTCCTACACAGTTGGGCCCACTAGATAGAGCTAATCCCTATCTCCGGACCTTTCTTGGATATTATCCATCGTCTAGTAAATATAAAACGTAAAACGACGTTTCGGAGATGTGACTCTATCTCCGTTTTCAGGTTCCTACACAGTTGGGCCCACTAGATAGAGCTAATCCCTATCTCCGGACCTTTCTTGGATATTATCCATCGTCTAGTAAATATAAAACGTAAAACGACGTTTCGGAGATGTGACTCTATCTCCGTTTTCAGGTTCCTACACAGTTGGGCCCACTAGATAGAGCTAATCCCTATCTCCGGACCTTTCTTGGATATTATCCATCGTCTAGTAAATATAAAACGTAAAACGACGTTTCGGAGATGTGACTCTATCTCCGTTTTCAGGTTCCTACACAGTTGGGCCCACTAGATAGAGCTAATCCCTATCTCCGGACCTTTCTTGGATATTATCCATCGTCTAGTAAATATAAAACGTAAAACGACGTTTCGGAGATGTGACTCTATCTCCGTTTTCAGGTTCCTACACAGTTGGGCCCACTAGATAGAGCTAATCCCTATCTCCGGACCTTTCTTGGATATTATCCATCGTCTAGTAAATATAAAACGTAAAACGACGTTTCGGAGATGAGACTCTATCTCCGTCTTCAGGTTCCTACACAGTTGGGCCCAGTAGATAGAGCTAATCCCTATCTCCGAAACGTCGTTTTACGTTTTATATTTACTAGACGATGGATAATATCCAAGAAAGGTCCGGAGATAGGGATTAGCTCTATCTAGTGGGCCCAACTGAGTAGACACCTGAAGACGGATATATAGTCCCATCTCCGAAACGTCGTTTTACGTTTTATATTTACTAGACGATGGATAATATCCAAGGTAATTTTTATTCAATTGACTCTTCACCATCGTCAAGAAGTTTTAGATTTGATATAAAACTTTTAAATTAGCGTAAAGGTTGGATTTGGATTAATCTAGTTTTGACAATATCTTGTGATCACGGCGATGAGACTTCGCGATTAACAGTAAGAAACATTTTTCTGACTATGCGAGCGAATGTCGAGTTCTGAAAAGGTTAGGTAACTTTGAAAGCGTACGCTTTGCAATTTAGGTTGAAGAATATGATCTATTGCCGAATTGGTAGAAATTTGTGAATAAATTGTGAGGTTATTTTGAAGTCGCGTTAAGTTCTAGAGTTATCTTGCCAATGTCACTCAGGCCACGGACGGAAGGTCAGACAGATTGTCGTCCTGTTCCAACAAAGGTTTTGCATCCTTTGTTAAGCAAAATTCACTCCAGTTACAACAAACATGTCACAATCCAGCGATTTACATATGCAACAGAGGCTTTAAGGTTGCACGTAAAACCATTGGCGATAACAGCACTGGAAGGCAACTGAATTAGGTAATGAAGACGTCCAAACTGTGGGGCGTAGTACCGGCTGATAAGTGGTCAGCAGCATTCACCCTATTTTTTTACGCACGACGGCACATAATGTTTATTCAACAAACTCTACAATGCCATAAATTTGGATAAGCAATACTTGCCCTTCGAGAATGTAAGCTTGTGAAAGCAAATATTACACGTGTTGGATGTAACTTTAAGTAGTTAACCTGTATTTTGTTTATTCGAATTAAAAGTATAAAAAAATATATTACCTTTTTACATACGAATGTGTAATTTCGAATAAAATGTGCGACACACCGGTTGAGGATCAATTAAGAATAAAATATTGTCATCTGTAATGTGTCCCTGAACCTAGGATATCGGATTCATTTTTGCCCATAATTCTGTTACTCAATAATATTATGTAACAAAATGAGTCATTATT